TTAGGAAGTGAGTAATATAGAAGATCTGTGGGATGTTTGGACCCACTGGAAACACCTGGAAACCAAAAGAGGTTAGTACATGCCAGCCTGCAGCATTAATTCCAGACTAATTATTCTTTTATGATTGAACTCCTAACATGCCACTTACTTTCTCTGGATGTTTTTTTTTCCACCCCTCTGGAACTGTTTTAATTTGTTTTAATGAGACAAATGAGAGGCTGAACAGCCATTCACTTATTCAGCCCATCTTTTTAGCTCTTTACTACATATCAGGATTAAATTATTTCTTCCTTAACTTTCTAGACTCTCTCTTTGGAATTTGAAGTTCTAGATGAAGATATTTACAAGTATTGAGACCTGCAGAAGCAGATTATCTTCAGTACCCCAAATTATTCTCTCTTAAGCATTACAGTAAATTGGTCTTGATTAGGTACTAAAAATGTGGGTTTTTTTTTTTAACAGGGAGAAGTGGAAGATAGGATTGAAGAATTAAAATTTGATCGTTATTCTGTGTTTAGGCCCGGGTAAGTATCCATACCACCTGAGAGCACACTGTTGGTTATTCCCTGGAATCTAGTTTTTCCTTTGAAGAGACTGATAACTAAGTTATATAAGATATGAAAGCTGTCGAGATGGATTGCTTCTCTAAAAGACCTGCCTTTTGGCTTTGAAGGAACGCTCAGACAGGTGGTGATGCCAGGTTCAGAACAGTCTAAAATATCCTGAGTAGCTTTTGCTGCCTTCTTTTTAAAAATCCTAGTAAGACCTTTTACCCCCTATATTACCATGTTTGGTCTGCTCTAACAGAATAGCACTACAGACGGGGATGCTTAAAAAACAGAAATTTATTTTCTTATAATTCTGGAGGCTAGAAGTCTAAGATCAAAGTGTCCAGAGAAGCCTTTCTTTCTGGCTTGTAGGTGGCCACCTTCTGTGTCCTCACATGGTCTTTCCTCTGTGGGCATGTGAAGAGAGATCTCTGATATCTTTTCCTCTTTTGTAAGGACACCAGCTCTATTGGATTATGATTCCACCCTTGTCATCTAATTTAACCTTAATTACTGCCCTAAAGGTGCTGTATTCAAATACAGTCACACTGCGAGTTAGGACTTCAACATGAATTTTGTGTGGGGACACAGTTGAATCCATAATACACTCCATGGTCTGAATGCAGTTTACCATCTCTTCCTCTGATTTTTTTTTCCTTTAGAGTTCTGTTATGTGATAGGCAAGAATCTCGCCCAGGTGAATTGTTGATCAGGAAATTCTTTGGCGTCCTACCAGTATCTTGGGCCAGTGGGTATTCTGTGCCCGTGATCACTGTGGTGAGGGCAATGCTGAACAATGCAGTGAGACCCAGCAACAAGAAGGAAATGCTGGATAACAAAGCCATCCATGACCTGGGGAAAGCTGATGGCTCCCTCACACTGTAACCACCCTGGAGAAATGATTCCTACTCTAAAACTCAACACCTACCACCTAATTGGTATTCAGGGGTCTAAAAAAATGTGTTATTTACCTATAGTTTCACTTTTATTCACAGAATTGTTGGAGTGTGGGCACAGGAAATTTGTTGTTTTGTTTAAGTTTCTCCCGGTGGTTCAGTTGCCACTGGTGGAGAGGCCAGCTTTGAAACACTTGTCTACAGAGTCGTAGCATCACAGCAAACATTATACATCATGCAGATTAATTCTGTTCTAAAATTGTTGACATTTGTGTCTGAGTTATCCAGGGCTGACTGCACATAACTATGTAAGTGAATACTGTGCCTTACTACTTCTTTAGAATATGTAATGAAGGTTTTATATATAATAGAGCTTATATAATTTATGGGACAATTAAATAGAGGAATAAAAATAAATAGGTCCTTAAGTGAACACTGTGCCTTACTACTTCTTTAGAATATGTAATAAAGGTTATGTATAACAGAGCTTATATAACTCATGGGATAAATAGAGGAATTAAAATAGACAGGTCCTGGGTGCCTCTTAGATTGTTCGGAAATGCCTAAATATCAGTGGTAATATGAAGTATACTGATTGGCCAGTGGGATGATACAACAGCAAAAATTTATCATCTGCTTCCTAAGTACCAGCCTTTACACATGCAATCTGTCCTTTAACCCTCCAGGTAATCCTTATAGGTGGTACTGCCATCCCCATATCTTAGGAAAACTAAGGCTCATTGTGGTTAAGTACCTTGCTCAGGGGCCCATAGGTGGAGGCCTGAAGCTAGGAAATGGTAGAACCAGTATTCTAACCCAAGTCAGCCTGATCCTAGCTTGTATTTTTAACAACTTTGCAGGAGCATTCAGTATCTATTTCCGGAAGGTTCTAGTTAATTATTAACTAGGTCAGTTTATGGTATAGATGAATAAAATATAAATATTTGGGTTTCTCCATTACTCTAGGATTCCTGTAATGATTAACCAGAAAATGGTCACTTAGTCAGTAGAAGTGCAAAGTCAAGCTGCTGTACTTTAAAAACTATGGAAAAGGAAAGGAAGATGCAGCAGGAATGGTCAAAGTCAAGAGGAGCACACGGTGTTAATTTCCATCTTGGACAAGGGATGGTGATGAAACAACTTCTGTGCTTAAGGGAAGCAAAGTGATTTGAGTAATTGAGTCAATATTTTTTTACAGGGTTTATAGTGTGTACCTTTCAATCTTCAATGCTCACTATGGGATAAAGGGTATCCCCTTTATTTTTTATTTACTTATTTTTTAAAGTAAATTTTTGCTTATTATTTATTTATTATTTAAAGGCTATCCTCCTTAATAGGAGGAATATATCCTTAAAGGAATTGGACAGTCCCAACATCAGTCACTTTGGGAGGAAAGAGGTATATTTTAGGGTCGGGTAGAGTCTTGTAATGTGGACTTCAGGAAGGAGATGGAACATCTGCCATCATGCTAGGTGGGGTTCCTTTGGAACTGTACCCTGAATCGCCTCTGTGTTTGGGTGATAACAAGCATGGGCTCAAATAAATGAGGCGTGAAGGAGGGGACCCCGCGAGGATACCTGAAACCTGCAGGCTCTAAAAGCTTAACTCAGTGGCCAGTTTTAACCTGTTCTCAGTATTGTTTCTTTACCCAAGCCTATTACGTCTTGTTCAACATTCTGTTTTGTCTCATTAGTGAAGTGGGATGGGGAAGAGTCTGTGTCCATCTTTGGAGTAGAGAGAAAGCTGCTGCCTCTCATGCCCAACACTGCACTGAGACATAAAGTTCAACGGACAAGGTTCTGACTCAATCACTCATGTAGACTGGGTGTTACTTCTTTTACTATTAATATTTAATGACTGGGTGTTATTAAGGGATCTAGCAGGTTTCTCTCCAAATATTATACAGATGGGGAGAAGATGGTCCTTGCTGGGCTGAGAGTTTATGTTAGAATGACAAAGGGAAAAGTTGTATGGGCACATGAAAGCCCTTGAATTAACTAACTCATTCAGCTTACTGAATGTCTCCTTGCACTCCTGGGCATGTAGCCAGTAGGGATACTTCAGTGAACTGTATGTCTTACCTTTCAGAGCCAGCAGATATTCTGGCAATGTCCTTCAAAGCTAATATTTGATGGATTCTGTCCTCTAGGAGTTTAGTTAACGGAGAGGAGTACATTAAGAGATTAGCAGTAATACATTTTCATTCAGCAAATTTGAGTATTTACTATGAGTTGGGTCATGTATTATATGCCAAATAAATGAAAGTAAAAGACATAGCCCTTATTCTCATGGTGCAAAACAATGTTATGGGTAACACCAAGAAAGAAAATAAAACAAAGCACATGGTAGGTGCTTAGAAAGAAACTAATGGGGCTGCTGGAATGACAGTGGAACCTACATGAGAAATAGTGATCTGAGGAAAGACTTTCTGGATGAGACAAAATCCATTTGTAGAACATTCTTACTAAAGGCCTTGAAGTGGGAAAATGATTTTTGCCCAGCAGATGGGGCCCAGGGTGAAAGGTTGAGATGGAAAGTTAGGCAGGATGATGCAGAGCCTAGACGCCATGATAGTCAACTGAATAGGATAAACATGTGCCAAGCACAGCCCTAGCCTCTGGGTCCAGAGCTTGGGACATCATCATCTGCTGAAATTACTGCTGCCCACTCTCCCTAACAGAACATTCTATGTTTTGAGTAGTACTAGTTAGGTAAAAAAGGTATAAAGCATGGGAACGTTTGTGCTGTTCCCACACAGCAGCCAGAATGTTCCTTTCTGAACACAACTGACAGCATCACTCCCCTGATTAGGCAGGTCAGCTGCTTCCTATTGTTTAGGATAGAGTTAACACGTATGTCTAAGCACTTTACATATATGAACTAATTTTATCCTGACAATAGCCCTGTGGTTTATGCAGTCATTAACTGCTAGTTGGGGAAAGGAGGCCGAGAACGGTCAGGTGACTTGCTCAAGATCACAGAAAGTGACAAGTAGTAGTCAAACCAAGCAGATTGGCTCTGGCGTCCATGTTTTCACTTAAACACTTACTAAAACCCTTAAACAGCCCGCAAGGCTTTGGCCCTCGTGGTCCCTAGTACACCCACACTGGCTCCTGCAGTTCTTTCTCCCCAGCGGCATCTTCAGGGGTCAGGAAGCCCAGGAACCCGAAGCGAGTCTCAGGCTCTTTTAAGCGTTCGGTCTCCTCTACCGCCAGAGGGCGCCGCGGGTTCGTCGCCCATCTAACTGCTCATCCGGGTAATGAGATGCACAGAGGGCGTGATGCCCCCTGCAAAACTGCTGCACCGACTCTCCGCCTCTGCGCGCAGTACGGCGGACGAGGATATCTTGCTAAGGCCAGCTGCAGCCCAGGAGACAAAAATCGTGTCGTTACCTGGAACGTACACCCTACCTCAGCGACTACTAGGCGCGCACTGCGTCAAACCTGCCGCTGGAAAGAGAGCCCGGGCTCTCGCCCCGCCCACCCATTTCACGTGACGAACACCCGGCCACGTGGCCGGAAGCGCTTGTCGGCCAGGGCATCTAGGCTTCCGCGGATTTCCCCAAACTCAGGCTTAGCCGTGCGCTCGCGTTCGTTCCCGGGTTCCCTGGCCTGAGAGCTCGGGAGGCTGCGCGCACGTTGCCAGTCCGGTCCCCGCCCCCAGGCGTGCGCGGCTCCGGGATTTCACAGCCATGTGCTCGTTAATGTCGAGCGCTGCTGGTGGGTACCTCTGGCCCCCCAAAAAGCCGGCTCGTCCGGCCCCTAGGCCGCGTCGCCGTGGTGAAAAACCCCGCCCGCCGCGCGCTCCGGCACGGGGAGCCGGGCGGGTGAGGCCTTGCAGGGAGGGTAGGGGACGTGCGGCCTTGGGGGAGCGGGGCGCGGGAAGCGGTCACTCTGGGAGGGTCTTCGAAAGATGCGAGCTGATCGTTTGCGCGTGGCAGGCGGCCAGGGCGCCCTGGAGGATGAGGAGGACCCGCCCGAGCTGTCAGACAGCGGCGACGAGGCCGCCTGGGAGGACGAGGAGGATGCCGATCTACTCCGCGACAAGCAGCACACCCCCTGCCTGTTCTGTGACAGGTTCGTCTGCCGCGGCGTCAGGCCCCAGCCTTAGGGGATCCGGGCCGCGTGCGTCCGTGTGGTCTGCATCTGCAGTTCAGAGTGGCCCGCCCACGAATTCTCAACTAGTGATTTCAATGAGGGTTGTTGAGAAATAGGATGTACAGTGGTGTAGAGGGAGGAGCAGTGAACCGGAAGCCAGGTTATACTACTTCGACGGGCCTCAGTTTCCCCTAGTGTAAAATGAGAGGGCATTTGGTGGCATACTTTTGTCACCCGAAACACTTAAAAAAGAAATACAGATGGTGAACTCTGCACCCCAGTTCTTCTAAAGCAGGGGTGGGAACTAGGAATCTTCTCTTTAATAAAGACACATCTGAGGTTTGATTCTAATGAATAAATAGCAAGTTTGGGAGTCACTAAACTAGATAATGCCTCAGGACCCTTCCAGCTTCATCATTCTGTAATTCTTTGACAAGTAGAAAACTTCTCAGGTGTAATATTTACATTTGAGCCATTTAAAGAAGCACCTGTCTTAGATAGACGCACCCCATCTATTGAAGGGAAGGAATTGATACCATTTTCACTTTGGGAAAAAGTGATGGCAGTATCAATAAGTTGTTCAAAGTGACGAAACCGTGGTTTGCTTATATCCAAATCCATGTTCTTTCCATTTAAAATTATGCCTCTTCATCTTAACAAACTTTGACTTTGATTGCTATACTGGGCAAGCGGGCCTGAAAGAGGCCCGGTTGGCCTTGGGCAGTATTATTTAAATAAATTTTCTTGTTTCCACTAAATCTGGACATGGTGCTGACTGGCAGTGTATTGGCTCCTCGATTTCTCGCTATTCTCACACATATCCTCTTTTGGGAGGCAATGGAATGTCTCCATATATTCTAGTCCTCATTAAATAATCTTTATGGAGCATCAGGAATGTACTATTTTGTGATAGACTGCAGAAGTACTGCAAAAATAACCTATACTGGTAAACATTGAAAACTGCTGCGTATGTGCTAATCATATAGAAGAGGTATGTAGTTTCTCTGCTGTATTCCAATCTCGTGTCTTTGAGTTTTGCAGGTCACATAATAAAGAGGCTTAGTCCTCATAATATCTGTAATTCAAGTACATTGGGAACACTACATCATTCTGAAATATAGCACTTTGGAAATGTGCCAGCTGAAGTTACATTTATGCTTGCTTTCTAAAAGCAGTTTAAGCTATGCCAGTTCTGAAAGCAGAGTTGGCACTTAGGGGAAAAAAGAATCTTGTGTAGGGATTTTTCATGTCTTGAGAGAAACAGTCTATCAAAGGGAATTCTCTTCTTTAAAAGCCTTTTGATAAATGCAGTGTTATTTGGTAAATAATACTGACATTTGAAGGGTAGTTAGTTTGTTGTAGGTATAAAATGGGACTCAGAAGTATTAATTTCCTTTAGAAGGTATGTTTATTTTTTTCTTAATTGGAAAGAAACCTACCTAGAAACCAGCTGTGTGGTGTTAGTGATGGGGGGGTGCATATTTAACATGAAACCAATATTTAGACTTGGGGGACTGCTTGATTTTTTAGGTTATTTACATCTGCTGAAGAAACGTTTTCACACTGCAAGTCTGAGCATCAATTTAATATTGATAACATGGTCCATAAACATGGTGAGTATTTTTTAGAATAAAGAAAATCACAGTTTTGAAATTAAAGTTCTAACTTCATATATTTTTTTAGACCTTTCCTTTTCTATAGAAGTCCAATATAGTGAAACATAGCAACAACCTATGTTATGAAAGTGAAGTTTTTTTGACAAGTGGCCTTTGAGGAGAGACTTTTAAGTCATTCTAAGGATAAGATTAACTGTATTTAAGCTTATATTGGCTTTACAACTAAAAAGGGAAGAAAAGAAAATCGGCAATGAAAGGACAGTGTGTGTGTGTGGGGGGGGATCTTTACAATGGAGAAACCTGGCAAACACTGCCTTGTCATGTGATTGCATTTTTACCATATTAGAGTTAAGAGCAAGGGTAGGGGTGGACTTTGGAAAAGGAGATGGGTCATTATGAAAAACTACAATTTATCAGTTTACAGCATAATATAAAGTTCAAGGCATACAGGACTGAGTTATCATTTATAGGGAATTTGGTAAGAGTATGGTAAAAGGAGTGATGCGGTTAAGGTGGTAAGCAAAATATTTAGGTGATGATTCTTTTGAAACTTGAATTTAAACATAGTAACTTTGCAATGAAAGCCTTTCATTTCTTTAAATGGACATAGAAGAGCTGTACTGTTCTACTAAAATTCATTAAATACATAATTCAGTTTTTGTTCCCTCTATCTACAAAAAGCTATAAAGGACATTAGGTAAATATCTGATATGTTTATAAATCAAATTCAGCTGCAGTTACTTTTGAAGCCATGAATGACTTAGGCTCATTACTGTTTTTCTTTAGCCATGTTTACTATGCATTTTTTAACTGAATTACAGCAATACTTTAGATGTAATTTTGTATTTTTTTTCATGTGTAAAATAGGGTTTTTTTGTACACTGTTATGCATGTAAAACAGTATTCCTACTAACAGCACTTCTCACACAAATAATAACCAGTTGGTTGGATATGCTATTGCTTTTCCTTATTTTGAATGCTGCTTCATTTTTAGAAAGATGAGAACCAGATAACGTCTCATTGTTTTTTAATTTGCATCAATTAACTTAATGTAAAAGCTAGTATACTTAGTGTAATCCATGTCCTTGCAAAATTATAATTTGGTAGGCATCATAAAGATGGGAAATTTAGAAACATTCAGCTCCAATATCAACTTCCAAATACTTGGTAAAATATACAGTGTAATTTTCCTGATTTGTATTGTTCTTACAAATGAGGAGTAGAATTCTAAAAATAAATTTCCCATTTTGTAGAAATGCAGGAAGCCATTAAAAAACTACCATCTATAACTGTTTCTTAATTAAAATATTCAGGAGTTACTGTTTCTAGTTAATAAGAAATCCAAAACATTGTAAGTTGTAGTTTAGAGGGCAGAAATATTTTATTGTCTATCCACAGAAATCTCAGTAGAACAGGTCCATTAAACAAAACTCAAATTTTATGTTAAAATAGATGAATTATCTTTTTTTCTCCTTTAGGGCTTGAATTTTATGGATACATCAAGCTAATAAATTTCATTAGACTTAAGGTAAGTTGGTAGCTTAATTTACAATTTCATTTAGAAACTAAGGAAATGCAACAGTTACTATCAATGCACTGATTTTTTAAAAGAATGCAAGGAACTGTTCTAGAAGAAACTCAAGTTTGGCAGTCATCAGTTATATTGGGGGAGTCACGGACGTTAGGAATTAGCACAATCCACAGCACCAAGTAAATGGGTAACATCATACTTTATAAGTACAGTTTTTAACTGCATTTAAGAGATTAATCAGTGTTATTTGAAAAAGTAATTCAATATCAGATAAAGGGAAATAATGATAGTATTTCTGTAAAATTTGAAATAGTTTCCAGCGTAATTTTAAGTACTGTTGTTGCTCTTTTTCTATTTTTCAAATACTTTGTTCTTTACTCTGTCCTATTCAAATAAATGTTTATGTTGCCACTTCTCCCAAATCTAAACAAATATAAAACTATGCATTGAAACCAGTGGTTAAGCAATCATCCAGTTAAGGTAATGTAATTACAGGTGAACACAGACTCCTTAAATAGAGATTTAGTGTAATGTAGACACATTATAATTTTTTTCCTAGTTTTTGAGGGGATTTTGTGATTATATGCAATGAAAAACATGCAATTTCTTTTACATCCAGAATCCTACAGTTGAGTATATGAATTCCATATACAACCCAGTGCCTTGGGAGAAAGAAGAATATTTGAAGCCAGTATTAGAAGATGACCTTTTACTTCAATTTGGTAAGATGAACTTTCTGTATGTACTTTAACGTAGGGTCGTTTGTTATGGCAAAATGGTGGTTAAGTGCTCTAGGAAAGTACATTATCTCCTTAATTCTCTAAAGACCTCATCAGGTAGTTGGTTTCAATAGGGAAGTTAAGTCACTTAAAAACTGATAGTCACACTGACCATTACCAAGGGAGAAATTTGAAATATGAGCTTGTTTAAACATTGTATGTAAGATGTTTTGAAACATAGGAAGACTTGAGAAAATAACTTTTAGTTGTTGAAGTAATGTTTAGTCTAACATTTTAATTTAATTAACTTAGTTACAATTAACTCAGTTTTTAGTTTAATTTTTTAATCTATTTAAAAAGTTTTCTGCTTTTGTCTTATACGTATTCAGATCAGATAATTGACTTTTCTTAAGACATCTAATTTATGAGATCTTGTTTTGGTGCAAAACTGATTTCACAAAAATTTCCCTGGGCTTACTCACATACCCTAACGCTTAAGCCACCCTTGTGGCAAGGTAAATCTCATTTCTTGACTACAACTTTCTTCCATAGCTCCTTAGTTGCTTGTTCTGTGCTTTGATTCATTCCTTATTGAACCAGGGATCTTCTGAAAATTCTGTTGACTTCTTATAGATGCTTCACAGGTCTGATTTATCACAGTTAATGATCTATTTTTCTGTCCCTTATTTATGCTTTCTTTCCTGTTTCTTGTGCCAGTCAGGTGAGATAGAGGATTTAATCTCTTCAGATGAATAAGGCCATTCAAAACAGCCCCATAGCTTCACAGATAGTTTGACACTGTTCATTTGAGCGGTTCTTTGATTAGCGAGAACTGTAGGGGAAAAAAACCACTCATTTTCTTGAGAGGTACCATCATTAAGTTGTATGGCTTGTAATGTAGTAGTAAGAACCTTAATGTCGGATTCAGGAACTATGTGATCCTGGACAAAGCACTTAAGATTTCTGTTTTTAAGTCTTCATCTTACAGAAGAGGAATTAGGGCCAGATTTCCAAGAATCTTTCTAGCTGTAAAATTTGGTGAGTCCCAGACTGATTCTTCCTTGTTTTTACAACTTCTCTTTAATTGCATTTATCCTCATAGTGACTAAAGTGATCTCTCTGATAAATGACAAAGTGCCCACTAAGTGCTCTTCATAACTTCCTAAATTTGCCCCAGAGTCATTTATTGAAGACTCACAGGATGGAGGTAGTATGTTAAATGCTGTAGAAACACAAAGAAGTAAATCTATCCCATAATAAGCCCAAATCTGATAGTAAGAGTGTTTTGTTTTTAAATGTCCTATATGAGAATTTAAGGTCAAATAAATTCAATACATGAGAAGTAGAAAGGTAGTACAGTTCAGAGGAGGGAGAGATTACTCAGATCAGCAGATATTGGTCACTGGATATAGGTTGGTCTTAAACTGTAACTCTCCAAAGGTATATAAACTTAGTTTCTTCCAGCCTTAATTTTAATTTGTAAAAAGTTAATAATGATGCCTACCTTGCAAAATTATCACAAAGATAATGCATATCAGCACAGTAGCAGTCAGAGAGCAATTGCTTAATAAAGGAGATTTTGTTATTAGTAAATTAATGTGTTCTATAGGAGTTTGGATGAAGAAGTCATTGACTAAGATCTGGAACAGTGAGGCCTGTAAAGGAACTGGACATGATCTTGAGTACACTGCCTGCATTCTCTCAACTGTCTTTCAGTAAATTTTTCCTGACCATCTCTGAAATTTTAGACTTTGAGGATATAAAGATGACTAAATTAATAAGGGAAATGACTAAGAAAATCGGCAATGAAAGGACAGTGTGTGTGTGTGTGGGGGGATCTTTACAATGGAGAAACCTGGCAAACACTGCCTTTGCTGGGTTCACATTAGTGATAAGCTATGTTGATAGCATGAACTCTTTATATGGTCTGATGAGAATGACTCTTGACCTCTGTAGTCTTCCTGCTAAAAACTATAACCTCAGTCTAACCATGAAAACCATCAGACAGACACAAAGTGAGGGACATTCTGCAAACTACTTGACTAGTACTGTTCAAGACTGTCAAGGTACCAAAAAGAAGGAAAGTCTAAGAAACTCGTAGCCAAGAGTAGCTTTAGGAGACATGACAGCTAAATGTGTTGTGTGTCCTGGATGGGATCTTGGAACAGAAAGGGGACAGTAGGAAAAACTAATGAAATCTGAATGAATAAAATGGAATTTAGTTTAAAAAAATATATAGCGTAGTAGTTAAAACATATCTTACAGAAGGTTAATGTCTGTGTGTGTGTGTGTATCAAAAATTGAGGGACAAAGGATCAAGCAATACAATAGGGGAAAATACATGATTAGACAGTTCACCAAAAGAGGTATAAAAATAGCCTGACTGTAAGAGATCATTTCTCATCTATCAGATTGGTAAAAATGCTTAAAATATGATGACATATTCTGTTGACAAGGCTTTGGAGAGGCAGGCCCTGTTATATATTGCTAGTAGAACACGAATTTGGCAATACCTAACAAAACTATAGATGCACTTACTTTTTTTTTTTTTTTTTTTTTCCTTCAGTTTTCCTTTGTTCTTATACTCCACATATGAGTGAAATCATTTGGATAGATGCACTTACTTTTTAACCGAGAAGTTTCTCTCATAAGAGTGTCTTGAAGATACACCTCCAACATTCTGAAAATGCATATATACAAAGTTATTTATTGCAGCACTGTAATTTGAAAATATTGAAAATAACCTAAATACCCATACATAGGAGAGCAGTTGAGTAAACTGGCACATCCACATGTGGCATAGTGTACATCTTTTAACAAGAATGAAGAAGATATTTGGACTGATACAGTGATGTCTGAGACATACTATTAAACAAAAAAAACTAAAACTCAGAAGAATATCGTTTGATATTCTTCATGGAAGAAAGAAAGGGATTTGAGAAAATGCACATGTGTCTACTCATATGTGCAAAAGAAACACAGGAAGGATAAACTAGAAACTAAAGAGATAGGTAATGGATATGGAGGGAGTGACACTTCTCTGAATGAGTGTGCTGTGACCCGTAGGACTATATGTTTCTAATAGCCTTCATATAATAAAACACCAACACTTAAAACAACCAGGATGTATGCATGTTTGTGTGGTGGTGGTGCAAAATGGAATACAAACACTAACAAATGAACTGAACTGTATTACAAATGAATAGTGTAACTGTACTGCAGGGGGTAGGGAAGAGGAGTACTATGTGAGTAACTGAAATCTTGACTGATTATTGTGTTGAAGCTACAGATAAAAACTGCACTAATGCTGTAATCTAATGACTAAAGGTATTTATCACAGGGTATAGATTAGGAATTCTGACACTACTTTTTGTGTATACTAGAATGGAACAAGTAAGTAAATATATTATGGATAATAAGAATTAGGTTTCTCATTCTTGGAGAAGGAAGTTTCAAATGAGGAAATGGGAAATAAGGATGAATAAGGATGAAGTGACTCTTGTGGTGATAAATTGGCAGAAGTATCAGTATAAATTCATAGTTTTTAATATACACAGACAGACAGATACAGAAATATAAATGTGGGTGTGTGGGTGGGTGAGTATATATATATTTCCTAGCTCTGTTTGCTGAGACAGCCTAGAAAAACACCACTAGCAATGAGCACATTTAGTACCCAGATCTTGATTGATAACACAATTCTCCAATGAGAGGAACTAAGTCTCCTTAGAGAGGTGATTAACTCCATAGATGGGGCAGGGAAAATAGATGAGTCTAGGACATCTTGGGCCAAAAAATAAGGAAGTGCTTAAGCAGTAAAGTTTGGAAAGGAGGGGACTTATCAAAGGAACACAGGAGTCAACCTGAAGGAGCTCCTAACAGCCAAAGCTGGAATAATTTGAGCAACACAGAAAATGATAATACTGGATTTTAACCCATGGGAAAAAGTAAGTATCCATGAGTCTATACTAGCACAGTCAAGCAAATAAATAAATAAAGGAGTAGCTTGACCTTAGAGTAGAATTCTTTCAATTGATAGGAAATGTAGAACAGAAAATCACCATTAGACAAATACTATAGTAATAACTTGCAGAAAAGATCCACCAGTGGTTGTTATGATTAATGGGCAACAGTTTAAGGTGAAATAGGATTTGCATAGTTTGGAATAACTCCCTCAAGATATTTATTAACTACAAAGGAGATGTTAACTTTTCAGCGGAGAAATCCCACAGATAGAACCACAACCAACTGGTCAAGGTTAACATCACCAGTAATAAGGCACATCAGCGCTATGAACTAACTGGTATAATGCACTGAAGACACAACATCACTTCTCTGTTCCTCTTGCCAAAAATGTAAAACTTCATTCAGTAATGAAAACAGGCAAGCCCCAGTTGAGGGACAGTACAGAATCACTGATCAGTACTCTTCAAAAGTGTCCAGGTACAGTTCTTGTGTGCAGTGTTCTATCAATAATTAGTTCAAGGTGCTGAATATTTTAGTTCAGGTATCTTTTTGGAGATTTAAAAATCTAGTTCTACCAGTTGTTGATAGGGATGTATTTAAATCTCTGACTGATTGAAGGATTGTTTGTTTTGCCTGTAATCCTGTCAGTTTTTGTGTCATATATTTTGGGCCCTTTTTGAAGTTTATATCCATTTATAATTGTATATGTCTTCCTGATAAAGGACCATCTTTAGTGGCAGTTCTCAGCTTCCAAGATGAGGTATCTGGGTGATTTGATCCTCCTGAGACAGAAAGAATCTAGATGTGGAAATTCATCTTCCTGGATATGGTTTAGGACTTTGAATTGGACTGTTTTGATAAATTATAATTATGAATCTTAATGTTTACTTAATCCATTCTTTTTTCAAATCCAAACATTTAGTCTTCAATATATGGTTATCTGTATGTTGTCAGTGCTGCAAGTTTTTATTCTTTTCTTGCAGCTGAAAGCAGAACAGAAAAACTGCCAAAACAAAGAAACAAATTTCTTTGTTCAGTTCTAATCCATAAGTTAAACTGACAAGGTGGTTTACAAATTTTGAAGAATTTTGAAAACAAGACACACCGTGAGAGTTGTAGTAGAAGGTAGAAAATATTGTATTCTGTCCTTAAATAGTTTGGAAGTATTTTGTTGCTCTCATTAATTTTTGGTGAATTAAATAGTGAATGAATCTATAGAGTGATTTAGTATTCTGCCAGACTGATTAGAGATTAGTGGTGCACTGCTCTGCTTTTATATAAAGAATTTCAACTTAGGCTCTAGTTTCTAAGTTATAATATTATCATGTGATTCAGCTTAGTTATTTTGTCCCAACACTGAAGAAGTGTTGTGACTAAAAACTGAATAGGAAAAAAAGTCATATTTTCTCCAGTACTGTACTGAGAAGATATAGTATCTGCACTGTTTGTATTGTTTCAAGTTGATCTTAAGGTTAACTAGACTGGTAAATGGACATTGGGTTTTGTGAAACTCAACTAGCTCCATATGTTAACTTCTGTTTGCAGAGTTGTTAGTTCTACAGCAGAAGTTAATGATTCATATATTGTACTGTGAAATTAAATTTAAGTCAAGATTTTTAAATAATTTAAGAATTAGAATACATAATAATATCAGCAATAAGATATTGGTGTATAGACTGTACTCCCTCTTACCTAGGATGAAATAGTTATTCAAAGTATAGAATACTTTATCTACACACTTTTCCTAAGGAATATCTAAATGTAATGCCTGTTATTTGATCAATAAGGACCCAGAGGCTGAGAGGTGGCCTGTGGAGTGACAAGAGCATGAGCTAGGAAGGCAGGCATGGGTTTGAACCTTTTGTGCTTTCATTAAACAGCAATCTGACTTTGGACTGATCAAAATGTCTCTGAAATTTATTTTTCTTTGCCTTAAAATAGGGGTAGATATTTGCATCGTAGGTTTGTTTTGAGAATGAAATGAGATGAAATGCATGTACTTGAAAGATACCCAATAACCAATAAATATTAGGGGTTTTCCTTTGCTTTTTTGTTTTCTTCCTGGGTTTGGCTCAGTATAATTAATGCTTATACATGGGTTCAATTTAGCCAACTCATGAAAAACTCAGACTAACAGCATTCACTTTACATTCATATTGAAACAATTTGGGTATAAAACATTTAATTAAAAGTACTTTTACTAATTTTTCACAGTTGGCTGCATAAAGGCACTTAGTATATTATTTATTCCTAACATATTTCCATGTGCTTCATTGTTACAGATAACCTGTATTTCTTTATTTATGTCCATTTATTTCTTTAGATGTAGAAGATCTTTATGGACCGGTAGCAGTTCCATTCTCATACCCCAATGGGCTCAGTGAAAATCCATCTCTTGTTGAAAAACTGAAACACATGGAAGCCAGGGCAGTGTCTGCTGAAGCTGCATTAGTGAGAGCTCGTGAGGATCTGCAAAGAATGAAGTAATTTATCATTCCAACAGATAATTAGTTGTTCTGATCCCAAAATAATATAACTAATAACAAGGTAAAATATGGTAAAACATTTCATATACTGGAAAGCACAATGGAGGTATTTAATTTTAGTAATACTAAAGACATGCAGCATTTTTATATATTGTGGATGTAGTTTAAAGTTATGTAGTTTTACCTAGTCTCATACCCCTGTATAATTACTTTTGTGATAATAATTGTTCTGGGGAGTGTTTTCCTCTTGAGTGCTTTTGTTCCTTGATTTGCCTGTCTTTGATTACCCAGTTTCTAATAGATTTCTCCATTTTGCTTTTCCTCTCCTATGCTTTTAAAGTGGAGGGATTAATATTTTTAGGTTTGGGGAAAATACAAGGTTGAAATTTTTGTTTTTGAAAAACCAAAATATAATTATGATACAGTATTTAATCAGAAAACCAGATACATGAGACTGTTTTCTAGTGAGTAAATTAGTATTCTACTGGCTTAGTACTTCTCATAATTTAATGTGCATACAAATCACCTGGGGATCTTGTTAAAGTATAGATTCTGATTCAGGAGGTCTCAGGTACAGGCTGAAGATTCTACATTTCTTCCAAACATAAATCTCACTTTTCCTATTGGATTTGTGTGTCAGTTACTATTGTTTGAGTACCCATTTGATAGTGTGTCAGAATGTCCAGCAGAAAATACAGTAGAGATGATTATAGTTCCCCTTCCCTGTTTCTGAGATTTTATACTGGATAATCCTAGTAACAAACTACTGTTTGCCTTTTTGTACTTGTCCCCTATGCATATGTTATAGATTCTTAATGTATTATTAGCATAGAGGGAACTGAGTCTTAGAGCTGGAGTGGATGGTGTTAGTGATTGTAAATAATTCTCAGTTTGGGTCCACCTTCCATGAAATAATCTGATTTTAAAGAATATTAACAGTGTTGAAATGCACCACATTGATTCAGTTGATAAGATAAGACTCTGGAGCAGTAGAAATAAAGTTGAATAAAGGTAATGTGTTTATTTTGTTCACTTGAAAGATTTAAACAACTATAATCTGTGGTAGGCAGTACTTTGCAGGATTTGCAGAAGGAATGCTTAGAACTGGGTTTGAATATGCTGTTTCTTCAGTTCCAGCAGGGGGAGCTTTCAGTTGCTTAAGAGAGAAGGTGAGTTAGAAGGCTCCTGGCACTCATGCTCCATTCCCTCGCCCTTCGTCTTCCTCAGCCTCTAGCCTTTTCTTTTTTCATGGTCCAGTAAACCTGTCTCAAGGGTATATTTCAAATTGATTACAGACAATTTGCTCAGGATTTTGTGATGAACGCAGATGTCAGAACCTGCTCGTCATCTACTGTTGCCATTGCAGACCTCCAGGAAGATGAGGATGGTGTTTATTTCAGCTCATATGGGCATTATGGGATACATGAAGAAATGCTAAAGGTTAGAAGAGCACAAATGCACCAAATTCATAATAACAAAAAAATAGAATAAAACAGGTTCTGTATACATATGCTGAGGCACAACTGGTTTTTTGTTTGTTTTTGTTTTGTTTTGAGAGCTGCTTTTTAAATCTGGTGTTTTTTTGAAAAGATTACAGCAAAGCATCAGAATCATTGTAAATTCTATTTAAAATCATTATTAATCTTTATTATGAAATGATTTTTGCTTGAAATAGAACATTGGAAGAAATAACTGCTAGCAATTTTAGTTACCTCAAAAGCATCTATTAAATAGGAACAAATAAGTACATGATTGCCTTTTAATGTATAAAAAATGAGTAATTTTAGTGTTTTAAAAGCAATATTGACTTCAATTTGGCTAAATAATTCTTTGATACAAAATTTAATTATAAATAATTCTCACCATTGTTATGGCATAACTTTTTAACTTTTGAAATCATTGACATACAGAAGAATTTCCTATATTGGCCAAATCAGGTATTTAAATTAGGTTGGTTTTAATTTTTATAATGATAATGTCCATATAAAATATAAGTAGATTTTTAGCTATACTTGGTAGTTGTATATATTATCATGTATTATAGGTTGTAAAAGAGCAAGATACAAATTTTTAATTTAGGAAAACTGAAAATGTCTAACTAGAGTAAAACGAAAGTTGGAATGTAAATATTATTGCAAACCTTAGATGTTTATCTGTGAGAATTTTAGATGCCACTGCCTTTTCTTAAAACCAACAAACACAACTTTTCTCCCTGAATCTTTCCTCAAAAAACTGTTTTATTTTATGGAAGCCCTAAGACGATATTCCCCTAAAACATACACATTTAAAGTAACATGTATTTAATAAAATATATGTATTTTGTTGAGTCAGTTTTTCAGAATCCTGGAGTAAAAGTGTGCTAATTAATAGTAATTGTAATTATTTGGGGTCTTTTAAAGCAATGTCATGTCATTTTCTTTTCTAATGACATTGTCACGGTTGGTTGTGTTTTTTTGTCACTTGGGTAATGGCATAGCATTACAAATAAGTTGCCTTATTATATGTAATAAATGATTTTATGTCCAGAATGAATTTGTTTAAAAGAAATTGACTTACTCCATTTTCTTTGTTAAAACTGATTTTAGAATATTTTCTTTAAAGGACTTAATCTAAGCCCATGTTGTCATTTTAAATCACCTCGTCAATTTAAATGTCGTGAACCTTTAATGCCTTGATATGGAAATTATGTTGGGGTTTTCAGACAGATAAGGTTACTGAGACTCCCAGTATATGGTACATATGAGCATCCTCAGTACACTCATCAGGGAAATCCAGTTTGAGTTCTTATTTCCTAATCTCTGTCCTGGACATTTGTAGCTCTCTTTAAATTACTAGAGGATCTTCACACTTTGATTGTATATCCTTAAGTCCTTTTTTAGGTACATATAAATCTAAGAAGTTTCAGCTTGAAGTTTTCAGTGCCAGCTTTTCCCTTTTCAGAGAATCATTTAGGAATCCTTATTAACTCTCCATGCCTTAGTGCCCCTTATCTGTTACGCAGTTGCCTCTACTTGGAGATGACTTGGTCAGGTGTTCATAGGAAATAGGGATATATTCCATTCAAAAAGAACTATTCATCCAGTTTATATTTTGCTAAGTAATATATTAGGGATGAATATGATTATGTGTCTTATATCAAGCAATATTTCTTCTCTCATCAAAACAATTCTTAGCACACAAAATCTATTCAGGATTGTACTACCATTAGAATTTCACTTGATCTTTGTAAACCAACTTAAAATTGAGAGACCATATATAAAGGACTTATTTTTATGCTTGAAATTGGCCTTGCTTTTATGGAAATATTGTTTGGATTTTTTGTTGCTTAGTCTCAGATATTTTAATGGCACTATTTTGGCACATGTTGTGATCTTGGTAGTTTGTGATCTTATTTTCTTGGAGGTAAGCTGGGATAACTTTTTAATTCTAGAGATACATTTGAAAGAGGGATAGATTACATGAGTTTTCAAAATCCCTTGCCATTTTATTTTTCTGAAGGAGTCATTGTTGACTAATGTTATAAACTGAGATGTATCACTCTTTTCTTTTCCAAGAAAAACATTGTTCATCTTGGTGAACATTTATCAAGATGATTTTTTTTTACTTGTTTAGTACCTTATTTGGTATTGAAGTGTTAGTCTTCTCTTAAATTTTTAGAAATCGTTATGAAGGCTAGTATTTTATTTGCTTGCATTTTCATGTTTAGTGGATTTTTCTTTCAAAAATAGTTATTAAATTGAAGCTGCACTATGTCCAAAGCATTATATTTGGTATACTTTAGATTTCATTGCACCAGGGTGAGCATATGAATGAAAACAGATGAATATATAGAAAGAGCCCAGATGAAGATTGTCAATGAGTTGAGCAGCAGTGCGTGGACTTAGTGCAGGAGTTGGGCTGCTGGTGATTAAGTTGGAGCAGTGGTGAGGCCCTGTGGCTGGTAGGAGCTTTCTGAGTGACTGCCTTCTTAAGTGATGTTCACACTTTGTAGGCTTTGTAGTATCAGCACTGGGTTTAGTTGTAAGAACAATGTAAAAATGTGTGAAGTGGTACATTTAAAAAAAAAAGACAGTTTAAAATTTAGTGAATAATAAGTGTAAATTTATTTAAACATTGGTTTCTTTTAGTAATTCTTAAAATAACTTTCAGGGAAAGATTTAATAAGCCTGATTTGAAATTTTGTTTCTAAAGCAACTAGAAATGATTCCATGAGAAGGCACGGAATTAATTATGGAATTCTCCCTTTTTAGATCTGGTAATTAATTAAAACAACTTTTATATTTAGGCCTTCATTGTATGTTTTTTTTTTAATCCCAGTGTTAGCATAAAAATGTTCTTTTAGGGGGTATGGATTGTATAAGTTTTGATATTGTAGCATTTGGTATAATAATTCTTTTTACCTAGTGTGAAATCCCAAACTGTAATTCCCATTCTGAGATATTTTTATCATATTTATTTTACTTGGCAGTAGATCCCCTTACTGCTTAATTTGCTGCCCGTATGTGTCTCAACTGAGGTAATTTATAAGGGAATCTGCCATGTTCATGAACCAGTATAAATGTTAGCATTCAATTCCTGCCTTGGTCACAGGTCTTGTGAGACTCCAGAGTGTAGAAATCTCATGATGTATGCTGCAGGGCTCAAATGATTTATTTTTCGGATTATAGGCTTTTAAGCATCATTTCCTACTAGTGTTATTTCTAGAAACAAAACAGGATTATAAATCAGATAGGTGCTGCTTAATGACTTAGAAAAACCATATTCAGTTTAGCTTTATTTTTCACATGTAACTTTTATCATTTATCTATTTGTGTTTTTTTTCCCCATATTTTAACATAACTCTACCACAGGGACTCAGGCTCTAGATTCCAGGCCCTGTTTATAGGAGCGAAACATTCTGTTCACCTTTTATTAGCTCTAATTATCGGTTGGAGTCTTATGATGATAATGCATGTCAAGATGAAAATGTGCATATTTTAGAACTTAGATCTTATTTGACTTTCAGTGATACTCTTAAACATTTTCTTTGTGTGTTGTTATTTCTAATCCTTACTGTTTTCTTTTGGGAAAAAAAATTGAGCTTCATTTTCAGGCAAAAGGGAGCTTTGGAAACTAGCAATGTGTGTAAATATCTTTGTGAAAACATTTAATTTTTTCAGACTGTCCTGTAAACACAGTGCTTTCCTTTCTGCATCCTAGGACAAAGTAAGAACAGAAAGTTACCGAGATTTTATATACCAAAATCCACATATCTTCAAAGACAAGGTGAGTAGCATAGGCTGCAGAACTGTATATTTCCTATGGACCTTGGGCAGTAGAAATTCCTTCTTGGGTCATCATTGTGATGGCAGTTGATTTAATGTGCTGTGGCTTTATGTCGTGGAAGACTTGCTGTTCTGTGGGTTCAGAATACTGACAGCAAGAATGCTCATTGGTGCTGTCATTCATTGTACTCTTCTTTAAAATTGAAATTCATTAATTACAGAGACATAGCTTAGTTTAACTTTGTTATCCAGATAATTTTGCTTAAAGTATATTTTTGATTTACTGTGATTCCTTTGAATTTCAAATGTATTGGATAAGCCCATATGAAAGCAAAAGCACACTTAATCATTATAGTTTGTGTTAATTAAAAATTAATCATTTAAAAAGTTACTTTTGATAAGCAGGATCAGATATTGTAAGGTGTAATTTATTTTAAGAGACTTATTTTAAGACCTTATTTATTTACTCCCCTGTATGAGACATTTTGTATTTTACAATTAGTCTTAATACTGCCTCAGCTTATTTCAAAGATGTCTTTCACACTGTGTGTGTGAAATTTGTGTCGTTTTT